GCTGCTTTTTCCACAAACTTGGCAGGAACCATGATCAAAGTGAGGCAATTGAACATGACCTAATGCCCATACAGGATGCTAGTGCGTAGCCAGTGGCTTTATTCATTATGCCACCATACCAGTCTCTTGATTTTTCTTAGTTTTTTTTTGGTTTGTTTGTTTGGTTTAACCTAAAGGCATATTTTAAAGAGAGAGAGAAGGAGAGACAAAGAAGTCTTCCTTCTGCTGCTTCACTCCTGAGATGGCTGTAATTGCCAAAACTTAGCTAATGTGAAACCAGGTATGAGGATTTGAGCTATTCTCTGCTGATTTCCCTGGCCGTAAGCAGAGAGCTGTGTCAGAAGTGGAGAAGCCAGAACATGAGCTATTGCCTTTATGGGATGCTTGTACCACCAGTGCAGGATTAGCCTACATTCATGCTGACTCTAGAGATTGCATTTTTGAATTGTGGTTCAGCATATAAATATATGTTGTGGTTCCACAGAATGATGCATAACAATTGTCATTTATGTTTGCCATTAAATTTTTATCAGCTTATTTTTTTTCGTTACTATAAAATGAATATAAATATTCTAAACCATTCATATTTTTTGAGTCTCTTGTGTGTTTTTTGTTTCATCTCTTTGGTCTTGGATTTTGGGCACATTTACATAATAATGTAATTGTATTTACATAATAATGTAAAGTATTGTCTATTTGTTGCCATGTAATACTTCTAGTGTGCATAAATACATACATAGACATATATTTGTATGTGTTGAATAAGTTTTACATGTAAGCAAATAGATTTTAATTTAGTAATACTTTCCTCTTCTACCATTGCTCTTGCCTAGATTACCCCCCAGCCTTCCTTTTTTTTCTCTTTTTTGTTCTACTATTACAATAGGAAATTGTGGCTTCATTTCACAATCACAGCTTTAATACTCCATTTGATAGTTATATCCACACATGGGAAGGAGATAATAGTAATAGCAGCAAATAACAAAAATCTATTATTGCTCAAGTGAGGGTGTACAAAATAATTAAATTCAAAAATCTCTTACACATAAAGGTTACAATGTTTTGGTATTAGTGTGTTAGTTATCACAGATTAGGTAAAACACAGTACATGTCTTTGTTTGTTGAAGATTTTATATATATGTTGCTGCCAAATATGACATGCAGTTTAAGTTCTTATGACAGATATTTGTAAAGCACATGAGATTTGTTTACTTTGGAGGCAAAGAGAGAAGTATGGGTTATTGGCTTATTTTGCAAATATCTGTAACTGTTGTGCTAGACTGAATCCAAGAACCATAAAGTGAATTAATTCTAATGTAGCCATTTAAGTTGTTGAAAGATAAAAGATCTTATTCTCTGTTTCTCCAAACACTCTTTCTCCCTTCTACTCTCACTCATTCCTTCGCTCCCTCCTTCCCTCTGTCTTTCTATCTCTCTCCCCCATTACCCCTCTTGCTTTCAAATAAGTAACTTAAAAAGCAGGGAGGCAGAAATCCTCAAAATTTGAAAAAAATGTTTCATTAGAAAATCTTAATTTTTTTTCTATAGAGCTTATGATTTATAGTGTGGGCTTTTTGAGTTATTAGGCTTATAGTTTTTACTAGATTTGGGAAGCATTTTAGATTTCACCTTCCCAGGTATCTACTGAAATCTGTGTTACAGGTGTTTAATGCTGCTGGCTATCATCCCACATGCCCCCGAATCTTCTTTGCTTTCATCAGAGTGTCTCATATTAATGCTGTTCTTTCCAAAAACACATTTTTACACTCGCAGCAAGATAAAATGAAATTTCATTCTGGTTTTCACCACGTTTATTTTTATTTATTTTTAATAATAAATGCATTTTCTTTTTGATAATTACATAGTTGAGAGGGGTGCATGCTCATTTGGACTGCCAATTAGAGTGGAGAGAGTCAAAGAATGGAGGGAAATGAATGAGACAACCATCTCCAATCTTTTTATGTTCTGATATCTGGGGAAATTGTGGAGAGAAGGGGAACTGACTGTTTCCAGCTACCTAACTGCTTCAGTATCCAGGAATGACAGAAGACAACCCAATGTCTCCCAGGGTCCCTGATGTAGAGTATGTTCCACGGATACTGCTTAAGTGGTTTTAATAGTTATGACATACTATTGATTTCATTGCTCCAAGGTTGTGGAAATCCTTCCAAGGTCCATTGGCTGACATAGTCCATGTAGTCCACTTTAGAGTCTCCACTCACACAGATGTTTGTCTGGTAGAGCTGTCCAATTTGTTTTGGCTTCCATGGTACTGAATATTCTCTGCAGGATTTTATGAACTTGTTGACATGTCCTCCATGAACATCTTGGCATGCTGTCCACTTCACAGGCCTCAGCAACCATGGAGACCCATTTCTGACACATGCATTCTGTGATGTGATGACAGATCGTGTAATTTTTTTTTTTTTTACCATATTTGCAGTTCTGAGTCCATTGAACAGTTGGAGAGACCCCAAAGAAACCTTATCAGAGGTGACCTGAACATGGCACCTGTATACTAACCTGTGTGTCATCCTGATCATTCCAACACCTACTCAGCCTACTAGATATTACTCTGTTGGTTGCAGTCACCTTGTCAGAAGTTAAGTGAAATACAGTGCATACAGAAATACAAAAATCACATATACTATAATGTAGAGTAGCTTAAGAATCCAAAGCAACTAAAACAAACGGAAGAAAAACCTGTGTTTATCAGTGTTGGTGCAAATGTAATTTTGTCACTCTGATTTGCATCTTTGTGAAACAAATAGTGAAGGATGGTATTCTACTGCAGCTTTAATGAATATGATTATTTCTTTTTTTTTAAATTTATTTTTAACTTAGTGGTTACATTATTTTATGGGATACAATTCCATAGGTACTGGGATGCCCTCCCGATTATGTTTATTTCATTTCATTATCTACATCCAATTCCTGTTTAACTATGTTTATTTTACTTTCCTTTTGAATATATTACTAATGAAAAATTAAGATATTGAGTGCAATTAAATGTAAAACGTCTCAAATATTTACGAAAGTAATGGAAAAATAGGAGGATACAAAAGAAGTGTTCTGTTCTTAAAATTATGTGTATAACCTAACATTAATTCTATTTTTATAGTATAATAAGCAAATAATTAACTACAAACAAAGAAACAAAACAGATAACTGGTTAATGTTAAAAGACTTCCAAACATATTCAGAAGTGACAGTATTTGTTACAGCATGGCATTTGCCTTACATGTATATTTTCAGTACAATTGGAAGCCTGTGACTGTTTGAGACTTGGCTATTTTTTACAATAAGGTGGTTCTGATTGAAGCTGCAATTTGTTTTCCTACTATGTATTTCACTATATTGAAATAAAAACTTTATTTTGAGTGTTATCCCACAAAAAAAACAAATATAAAGCAGAAATAATTTTAATATGTACTCCTCAAAACTATAAAAGGAAAAATGCAAAAAAGAAAATAGAGAAATATAGATTGGTTTAATTCAAGTATGAGCTATAGGCTATATATACTCATTTGAGCAAATTCAGTTTTAAAATATTTCCAATGTTTCACTTTTCTCAAGTTGGAATAAGAAAATTGAATTTTATTATTATTGCTTTATAAGATCTTGTAAATATTTCACAATGCTTGAGCAAAAACAAAATTTATGGAATATTTAAAAATTTCTCATTCTGTCCAGTATCAAGCATGTCTTCTTTATCTAATCTAACATGTTATTTAGGTCATGTGTATAAATTTATGCCTAGATTACACATGAATGCATTAGGGAATCATTAGAGAAACAATCTGTTACACAATAATAAGAAAATTCTATTGTAACTTCAGAGTTGCAAAAAATACAGCAGAAGAATTTTTATTTTATTTTTATGCTATATTGGTAGGTAGAGTGCAAATTAACCTGCATCCATAGAAGATGCAAATTAAACATACATGAGAGTATACACTGTCATCTTTCTATTCAGTTATACTGAGCTGAGCTTATAGTCTTATCCCTTAGAAAAGTGAAAATGAGACACCAAGGGATACAGATTCTGTTTTTCAATAGAGAACAGACTCATTTCCTACTCCTAAACCTATAAGTAAGTGATCTGGAAGAATTTCCCCTTCTTCAATGACAAGAAATGAGAGCGGCTCCAAACACACCATTTTAATTAGAAAACTTTCTGTGGGAAGAGAATATGGGGGAATGCATGACAGTTGTAAAATACTTAGCTTACTATTACAGGAACTAAGTTAACATTTTAACCCAGTTTTAAAATTATTTTTCTAATTTAGTTGCAACACAGCATGGCAGTAACAGAGGGACAAGCTGAGCCATGTCTTCCACTTGCAAGAGTAATCTAACAATGCCTTCGACAGTTAATTAGAACCAGAAACATTAGAGAAAAACATGAGATACAGAAACATAGGGGACATTCTATTGTATTTTTGGAATTGCAAAAGTTATACAGGATAAGATTTTTTTCATTTTGTTTTTACTCTCTGATGCTGTTTAGATTGTAAATTAAGCTGTGTCCATAGTAGTTGCAAATTGAATATGCATGGAATGCTCTATCACTATTTCTATGTTGTGATCCAGAACTGAGGAGACATGTGCTGTTACAGGTGTTGATGTCATTGGAAGATGTGGCTGTGGACTTTACCCAAGAGGAATGGCAGTATATGGATAGTACTCAGAGGACCCTATACAGGGATGTGATACTTGAGACCTATAGTAATTGTTGTCATTGGGTGAGTGAGATTCTGTCATGTCCAAGCTGAACACTTTTGTAAAAGTTGACAAAGTAAAAAACAAACAAAAAACCAAATAAACAATAGTTTGCACAGTTTAGTAGTTAGTAGAAGTAGTAGGCTATAAAGAATATATATGTGTCACAGAATAATTCATATTAGCCATTCTATGACACAGATCCTGAAACCTAGCTTTTATCCCTAAGTTCCCCAAGTTAGTGATTTCACACAGTCTGTATCATTTCCCATTAACAGGGTACAGAATTATAAAGCCTGATGAGATCTTCAATCTGGAGCAAGAATCAAAATGTGTAAACCAGCAAATTCCAGGTAACTCAACACATTCAGGAGGATGCTGGAACATAGCATAGTAAATGTTGACTGGCATTCTAATTTTATTTTTTTTTATGTTTGTTCTCAAATGACAGCTGATGTCATGTGTCAGCACAGGCATTCTACAGGCTCCACGTGCAGCTTTATTCTGACATCTTTATTCTGACATCTTCAGTAGTTAAAATTTGCCAGCTGGAAACCAAATATGCAGTATCTAATATTAAAATCTGATGAACTAGAATGGCAAGAAACTTCACTGGCTTTCCTTGAGCATTTGAAAAGAAATACTTAGAGATAATTCATGGATAAGGTTATGATTTTTCCTTTCAGATTCCATCAAAAAGAATGGTCTTCTTGGAGATAATCAGGAAAGTCAAGAAATAATCTTCAGGCAAATTGTAACCAAAAAAACATATTATGAAAATAGAGATGAATTGTGAAAATTACTTAATTAAAGCTTTGGCCATAATTGAAACTGATGATATGAAAGGAAAAGCATACAAAAAGAAATGAAAAATATAATTTATTTCCTTTTTCTTTCTTTGCATGCAGAAAAGTTTTATTTTCTGTGAGGTGAGAATAGAGAGCAGAGAGAATGGAAAAGCACCTTTTGTAACACAGCCAGGCGATGGGTTTCTTCTTGAAACAAAAGAGGGAGAGACTTCAAAATTTTCAAAAGGGTCTTTGGTTTTTTTTTTTTTTTTGTTTTGTTTTGTTTTATTGTTGCTTACACTGTATTGTGTAGTACAGTTTTATAGGCGCTGGGGATTCCCCCCACCCCTCCCCATACCCCTCCCCCCATGGTGGATTCCTCCACCTTGCTGCATAACCATAGTTCAAGTTCAGTTGAGATTCATTGCTTGCAAACACTTGCCTAGCATAAAGTTCAGCGTCTTATTGTCCAGATAAGTTCAGTGGCCTCCTGGGGAGACCTTCTATGGTCTGAAGATAGGTCTAACAGAGTAAAGATCCGGTCGGTTAAAAGCCCCAACAAGGCCTCAGTATCAATATACCACATTATGGAATTAATTGACATAGTATTGGGTAAACAATATGTTAAAAATAATGCAAGTTCCATTCTTCGAAACATCTGGGTTGAGACAGCATCAATGACACGTTCAAAAAATAACAAACAACCAAACAATAAATTACAGGTTAAATCAAGGCGAACATGTGGTATCTAATCTTTTGGGATTCACTCATTTCCCTTAGCATTATAGTTTCCAGTTGTGCCCATTTAGCCACAAAGAACTGCATTTTGTTTTTTTTAACAGCTGAGTAGTATTCCATGGAGTAGATGAACCAAAGCTTTCTTATCCAATCTTCTATTGATGGGCATTTCGGTTGCTTCCATGTTTTTGCAATTACTGATTGTGCTGCAATGAACATGGGGATGCATGTTGGTTTGTCGTAAAACAGGTGTTTTGGATATATTCCTAGGAGTGCTATTGCTGGGTCATATGGCATGCAGATTCCGAGTTGTTTGAGTGTTCTCCAGACTGATTTCCATAAAGGCTGTACCAATTTGCAGCTCCACCAGCAGTGGAGTAGGGTTCCCTTTTCCCCGCATCCTCGCCAGCAAGCGTCGTTGGTGTTCTTGTTTATGTGGGCCAATCTTACTGGTGTTAGGTGGTACCTCATCGATGTTTTAATTTGGATTTCCCTTATTGCTAGGGAGCTGGAACATTTTTTCATATGTTTGTTTGCCATTTGGACTTGCTCCTTTGTGAAATGTTTGCCCATTTCCCTTGCCCATTTCTTGAGTGGCTTGTTTGTTTTGGTTTTTTGGTTGTTTTGAAGTTCTTTGTATATCCTGGAAATTAGCCCCCTATCGCCTATATCGTGTGCAAAGATCTTCTCCCACTCTGTGGGTTGCTTTTTTACTTTGTTGATTGTTTCCCTTGCTGTACAGAAGCTTCTTAGTTTGATGAGGTCCCATTTGTTTATTCTGTTCTCAACTGCTATTGCTTTTGGTGTCCTTCTTAGAAAGTCGGAACCTACTCCTAGGTCTTGCAGTGTATTTCCTACATTTTCTTGCAAGAGTTTGAAGGTTTCTGGATGTAGGTTTAGGTCTTTTATCCATGTAGATTGGATCTTAGTGTATGGTGATAGATGTGGGTCTATCCTTTTGTTTCTACAGGCTATCAGCCAGTTGTCCCAACAACATTTACTAAAGAGGCCTTCCCACTTGCTTGAGCTATCATTGGTCTTTTTGTCAAAGATTAATTGGCTGTATTTGTGTGGGTTCCCTTTTGATGCTTCTATTCTATTCCATTGATCTTCTTTTCTGTCTTTGTGCCAGTACCAGGCTGTTTTGATAACCACTGCTCTATAGTATGTCCAGAGGTCCGGGATTGTGATTCCCCCTGCTAATCTCTTATTTTTCAGGATGGTTCTAGCTATTCGTGGTTTTTTGTGTTTCCAGATGAACTTTTGAATCATTGTATCCAGTTCCGTGAAGAATGTTTTGGGCAATTTGACTGGAATTGCGTTGAAAATGTATATTGCTTGTGGTAGTATAGACATTTTAATGATATTGATTTTGCCTATCCAGGAGCACGGGATGTTATTCCATCTTTTGAGGTCTTGTTCAATTTCCTTTTTAAATAGTTTGTAGTTTTCTTCGAATAGGTCTCCTACGCTTTTGGTTAGATTTATTCCCAAATACTTCATACTTCTCTCTGCTATTTTGAATGGTATCCTGTTGGTTAGATCTTCTTCCTTCTTGGTGTTATTTGCGTACACTATGGCTGTTGATTTTCGTTCGTTAATTTTGTACCCCGCCACTCTGCCAAACTCTCGTATAAGTTCTAGCAGTTTCTGTATTGATTCTCCTGGTTTTTCTATGTATAGGATTATGTCATCTGCATATAGTGAAAGCTTGACTTCTTCGTTTCCTATACGTATGCCTTTGATTTCTTTTTCTTGTCTTATGGCCTCTGCAAGTACCTCTAGGACTATGTTGAATAGCAGTGGTGATAGCGGGCACCCTTGTCTTGTTCCAGATCTCAGTGGGAAGGGTTCTAGCTTTTCTCCATTCAGTATGATACTGGCGTTGGGTTTTTCATAAATTGCTTTAATTATGTTGTGGATTTTCCCATCTATGCCTACTTTGGCTAGAGTTTTTAGCATGAAGAGGTGTTGGATTTTGTCAAAAGCTTTTTCTGCATCTATTGAAACTATTATGTGGTTCTTGTTTTGCAGTTTTTGGATATGGTTTATAACATTTATGGATTTCCGAATGTTGAACCATCCCTGCATTCCAGGGATGAATCCTACTTGATCCGGATGAATGATCTGTCTGATGATTTTTTGAATTCTATTGGCTAGGATTTTGTTGAGAATTTTAGCATCAATGTTCATCAGAGAGATAGGTCTGTAGTTTTCCTTCTCTGATGGTTCTCTGTCCGGTTTTGGGATTAAGGTGATGTTGGCTTCATAGAATGAGTTTGGGAGGGTTGCTTCCTCCTCTATTGTTTTGAAGAGCTTGTAGAGGATTGGGGTTAGTTCTGTTCGGAATGTTTTGTAGAATTCTGTAGTGAAGCCGTCTGGGCCTGGGCTTTTTTTCGTTGGGAGATCCTTGATGACTGTTTCAATCTCTACCTCGGTTATGGGTTTATTTAATTCTGCAGTTGCCTCCGGACTGAGTTTTGGTAAGTGGTGGGAGTCCAGGAACTTTTCTATTTCTTGGTGGTCCTCAAATTTGTGGGAGTACAGTTCTTTGTAGTAATTTCTAATTATTTTCTTAATGATTGCAGTGTCTGTTGTTATGTTGCCTTTTTCATCTTTAATGCTATTGATTCTCACTTTCTCTTGTTTTTTTTTGGTCAATCGGGCCAGTGGAGTGTCTATTTTGTTTATTTTCTCAAAAAACCAACTTTTTGATTTGTTGATTTTATGTATAGTTTTTTTGATTTCTATTTGGTTTATCTCCTCCCTTGTTTTGATGATTTCTTGTTTCCTATTGTGCGTGGGACTCTTCTGCTGCTGTTTTTCCAGATCCTGGAGGTGTGTGGTTAGTTCCTGTATTTGGCGTCTTTCTTGGGCCTTGACATGCGCTCCGATTGCAATGAATCTACCTCTTAGCACTGCTTTGGCAGTGTCCCACAAGTTTTGGAATGTTGTATCAGAGTTTTCATTGGTTTCCATGAATTTTTTGATCTCATCTTTAATTTCTTCTCTGACCCATTGTTCGTTTAATAGCATATTGCTCAATTTCCAAGAGTGCCTATACTTCCTGGGGAGTTTTGAGTTGTTGATTTCCAGTTTCATCCCATGGTGGTCTGAGAGGGTACATGGTATGATACTAATGTTTTGGAAGTTGTTTAGATTCGCTTTATGTCCTATCATGTGATCGATTCTGGAGAAGGTGCCATGCACCGCTGAGAAGAATGTATAGTCTGTGGCCTTAGGATAAAAAGTTCTATATATGTCTACTAAGTCTAGTTGTTCTATTGTTTGTGTGAGCTCTGTTGTTTCTTTGTTGAGTTTTTGTTTCGTGGACCGGTCCATTGTTGTTAGAGGTGTGTTGAGATCGCCTACAAGAATTGTGCGGGTGTCTATGTCTTCCTTTAAGTCTGTAAGTAATTGCTTTACGTAACTAGGTGCATTAAGATTCGGTGCATAAACATTAATGATGGTGATTGCTTCTTGATGGATCATTCCTTTCACCAGTATAAAATGGCCTTCCCTGTCTCTTTTGATATTAGTTAGAATGAAATCTATTTCATCTGAAATTAGGATAGCTACCCCAGCTTTTTTTTCTCGTCTATTGGCGTGAAATATCTTTTTCCATCCCTTCACTTTCAGTTTCTTTGCATCCTTTCTGGTTAGATGCGTTTCTTGTAGGCAACAGATGGTTGGGTCTTGTTTGATGATCCATTCTATTAATCTCTGTCTTTTGATTGGTGAATTTAGACCATTTGTGTTGAGAGTTAAAATTGAGAGTTTGCAATTTTGCCCTGCCATGTGATTGTGTTGTGTGTGTGTTGTTGCCAATGTAGTTGTCTTGTTTGTGCAGCTTTTAGTTTGGAGACCTTCTTATTTGCCAGCTTTGTTTGTGATTTGCCTCCTTTTTGTCCGGGACTAGTGCATTTCTAAGGAGACTTTGCAGAGCTGGTTTTGTGTAGACATATTCTTCTAGTTTTTCTTTGCTATTGAAGTATCTGATTTCGTTCTCATATACAAATGAGATCTTTGCTGGGTAGATTATTTTTGGTTGACAGTTGTTTTGTTTCAGGACTTGGAAGATCTTTGTCCATTCTCTCCTTGCTTGTAGGGTCTCTTCGGAGAAGTCAGCAGTGATTCTGATGGGTTTTCCCCTGTATGTGATCTTTTCTCTACTTCGTGCTTGTCTCAGGATTCCTTCTTTGTCTTCATTGGAGTAGAACCTGAGCACCGTGTGTCTGGGTGAGGATCTCTTTGGATCATGTCTGTTGGGAGTTCTCTGTCCATCCTGTATGCGGGGTGGATTCGTGTTCCAAGTGTTTTGGAAGTTTTCCTGTATAATTTCATCAAGCACTGCTTGCATCCCAGATTCTCTTTCTACTCCCTCAGGGAGGCCGATGATCCGAATATTCAGTTTTCTAAGGTAATCCTTCATCTCTTGCATCATTTTATTAGTTTTGCTGAGGTTTGTCTCCAGCTGTTTAATTCGCTGGGCACTTTCATTTTGTGTGTCTTCTGTTTCAGAGATCCTTTCCTCTGCCGCATTTATTCTGTTGATGAGGCTTTCAATCTTATTCTCTTGGGCATCCAGTTTGGTTTTGATTTGTTGTATTTCGGTGATTATGCGGTTCTGGTAGTCTTCCAGCTTTGTGTCCACGTCTCTGAGAAATTTTAGCATTATTTTCATCAATTCCTTTGCTGGTAACACGTCCATGTCTTCATCTCGCATCGCCGATATTGATAATGGCTTTTGGCCCATGTTTGGTGGGGTGCTGGCTCTTTCATCTGGAGCACAGCTCTTTCTGGTGGCTTTTCCCATTGCGTTGGTGTATTCTGGTGTGGCAAATGAACCCGTGTGTTGAGGGGCTGTCAGGTGCTTTCCTGTAGAGATTGGAGCCTGCAGGCGTGGTGTTGCCGGGCGTGGTAATTTTCAAGGCACCGTTGGTGCGTTCTCAGGGCCCGGGGCTGAAGAGCACCACCTTGGGGGCCCAGTGGATTCCAGGCACACTCTGGGCACCTCTTCAACAGGTGTGACACCCCAGGGCGTGGAGGGATGGAGGCGCTCTCTGGGTGTGCCCCCTGCACGGGAATCCACAGGACTTAGAAGGTTTTATGTGCTTTCTCCCTGCGTTCTCCGTGTCAGGGACTGCAAGGTTTTTCAGAGCCCACCTGGTGCGTCTCCCACACACGGGACTGTGGGTGAGGCACTTTCCAGGCGTGGCTCTTGTGCAGTGAATCCACCACTCGTGGTGTGTGGGTGTTCAGAGCCCCTGCTCCTGTGTGGCTCTGTCACACCGGCCCTTAGCGGGGGAGTGGCCCAGGCGCCCTGTTATTATTTCACGGCAGGTTCGCACCGTGTCAGTGTGATGCAGGAGTTTTCAGAGCTCTCCTGGTGGGTCGCCCACGCTCAGAACTGCGGGGTGGGAGGCGAGGGGTGAGCAGTTCACCCTATGGGAGTGGTACCTGCGTGTCGGGGACACACAGCGCTACACTTCCCAAGTTTCAAAGCTCCCCTGACATCTGACACCTGCGCTGTGGAGGCGGCTGCTGCAGGCGGGGCCGCCTAGTCCGCTCGGCTGCTGCAGGCGGGGCCGCCTAATCCGCTCGGCTGCTGCAGGCGGGGCCGCCTAGTCCGCTCGGCGCAGCGACCAGGGTCTTCCCGATGTTATCGCGCTTCCACCAGGCAGGATTTGGAGGACTCCAGATCCTCACCAGCAGCCTCTGCGCACTGAGACGCACTGGCCCTCTCAGTGTAGGAACATCTGAGGCGCCTTCCTGGTGCCCCCTCAGCCGCCAACACCACTGTGCGTAGTTCCCAAGGCATAAACCCGACAGCTTCAGTCTCTCTGCCCCGCGTTCTCAGAGGCTGGACCCTCAGTAGGGGGTCAAGGAATGCGGAGGCTACCACGTCAACCCCCCGGCTCACCAAACGTCCGGCCGCTGCAGTCTGCCTCCGCCTCCCGCCGGCGGCGACGGTCCGCCCGATCTCCCCGCCTCCGGGCTGTCCGCGTCTCCCGTCAGGCCGCTTTCAAAAGTGACTCAGCAGGTCTGGAGTGGGATGTCGGTTTCTCTACCTTTGCCCTGCTCCGTTCTCGCTGTTCTTCCGAGTTGTGTGGATCTTTTTGGCTCCACACTGTCCCAGGGAGCCTCACGGACCTCTCCCTGCGATTCCCTGCTGTTCCACTTTGCTGCTTCTGTAACTTTCTATCCCTCTTTCACTGGACGCTCTCTCACAGCCTTCCTCCTACGTCGGCCATCTTCTCTCCTCGGGTCTTTGGTTTTTAAGTGTTCCTTGACCTTTCCTTGTCTGGGTGGGAACCTGTGGGGATGACATTTTCCATTGCTGACCTCTTAAGCACGCTGGGAATAGCTCCTACAGTGCAGCTAAATGTGTCCTCAGATCTCAGAGGTCTGAAGCCACATGGGTGATAGAGCTGAGACAAAAGACAAGTGTTTGATTCTTTTTAGTTGATCTGGGATGTGTAAATGGTGTCAGCCAAAGGTCCACATGAGTCACATCAAAAGATCAAACCCAACAGAATATTGTGGGGGTGCCATGAATCTAGCCCATCCTTCACTGAGGAAAAACTAACCTAAAAAATGAAAAGAGGATCTTGAGACTTGGGTAATCTGTCAGGTGGCTGTGATTTAAAATTAGCCTTGGGAGTTTCAAGTCATGTAGAAAAGTAGCTCCTTCAGAGACTCTCAGTCTCCCTCCAGTTTTCTTCCAAATGCACACATCCACTGCTTTGCTCCCAAAGGACAGTCAGAAGTGATAGGAAAGAACAAATAGGCAATTGATGGTTGGAACATCGAATGTCCTAAACAGCTGTGTTTTCTATCTCCATCCATCAACCCCCGATGAAAATAAAATTTGTCTGGAGGTTCAGTCAAAGCTGGACAGTCTCTGGGGCTGGAGGTGCTCTACATTTATGGAGTCATGAGATGCTGAGAGTCATTTACACAGGTTCAGTTTTACTGAAGAAAAAGCATGCTAAACTTGTTAAGTTATATCTGTTGCATCAAGCCACATGCCTCTAAGAACCAGAAATCTTCAAGCTCCATGTTAGTCACCAGGGTGAATGTTAACAGGAAAGCTCAGTGGTTCTTTCCTCAGCTTAGTATAAGAACTTAGAATCAGTTGCAGATAGGAAAGTTTTACTTTCAAAATCACTGAGTGAAAGGTAAAAGGGAAAACACCATAATTTATTTTAAAATGTGTTGTTTTCTAGGAAGCCTGATGAAAAGCCATTTGGGAAAAAACGTGCATCTAATGTACCTGAGAAACAACTCCAAAGTGAGGAAAATCTCAGCATGACAAGATGCACACTTGTCAGCAATGTTTGGAGCACAGAGTCGACAAGAAAACTTTCAGCAGTGGGAAGAAGATATTCATTATGCATGAGAAAGTTTATATCAAAGACTCAGGTGATAGGCCACCTGCCATTGTAACAGAACCAATTCTGATTGAGAAGATGTTCTACAATCCTTATTTTGGCAAGCATCAGCAAACATACTCAGGAGAGAAACTCCATGAGCATTTCAATAGGGACAAATCTTTTATATACAAAACCAACCTCAAAGTAAATCAGATAAGTCATATTGCAAAAAGTTATTATACATGTTCCTATTGTAAAAAATCTTTCAGCTGTAAATCTTGCCTTACAATCACACAGACAACTGAAACAGGAGACAATTTGTATATGTGCAATGAATGTAAGTCAGAATTAATTAGAGAGCAGATCCTTCACATTGGAGAGAAATCGTATGAAAGTAATAAGCATGGGAAAGCTAATGATAGGAATTCAGTACTCCATACACATAAGTAAATTCAAAAAGGGAAGGAATCTTATGAACACAGTGTGTGTGACAAAGCCTTTTTCAGTGAGACTGACCTCATAACCGATCAGAGAATTCACCCAGGTGAAAAACCTTGTGAATGTAATGAGTGTGGTAAAGCATTTTACAGTTGGTCAGCGCTCATTACACATCAGAGAATTCACACTGGAGAAAAGCCTTATGAATGTGTTGAATGTGGAAATTTTCCCAGAAGTCAGCCCTCACTACACATCAAAGAATTCACACCGGAGAAAAGACTTATGAGTGCAGTGAATGTGGAAAAGCTTTTTTTTTTTTTTTTTTTTTTAAAGATTTATTTTTTATTATTTTTTCATTGGAAAGGCGGATATACAGAGAGGAGAGACAGAGATGAAGATCTTCTGTCCGATGATTCACTCCCCAAGTGAGCGCAACGGGCCGATAATATGCTGATCCGAAGCCAGGAGCCTCTTCCGGGTCTCCCATGCGGGTGCAGGTTCCCAAAGCTTTGGGCCGTCCTGGACTGCTTTCCCGGGCCACAGGCAGGGAGCTGGAAGGGAAGCGGGGCTGCCGGGATTAGAACCGGCGCCCATATAGGATCCCGGGGGTGCAAGGCGAGGACCTTTAACCACTTGCGCCACCGCGCCGGGCCCGGGAAAAGCTTTTTGCCATAAGTTATCTCTCATTAGTCATCTTCGGATTCACACTGGAGAAAAACCTTATGAATGTAGCGATTGTTGAAAAGCGTTTTGTCAGCAATCAGTCCTCGTAATACATCAGAGAATTCACACGGGGCAGAAGCCTTATGGTTGTTGTGAGTGTGGAAGAGCATTTTACCAGCATTCAGTTCTCATTAGACATTACAGAATTCACACAGGAATAAAACCTTATATATGTATTGAGTGTGGAAAAGCCTTTTACCATCAGTCAGCTCTCGTTATACATCAGAAAATTCCCACAGGGGAAAAGTCTTTTAAATATAGTGAGTGTGGAAAATCCTTCCATGGACAGTCAGCCCTCATTAGACATCCCAGAATTCACAGAGGAGAAAAACCTTTTAGATGTAGTGAGTGTGGAAAAGGATTTTACCAGCAATCAGGGCTCATTACACATCAGAGAATTCACACGGGGAATAGCCTTATGAATGTAGTCAGTGCAGAAAAGCTTTCAACCAGAAGTCACACCTAATCAAACATCAGAAAATCCGTGCAAGGGAAAAACCTTATGAATGTACTGATTGTAGATTAACTTTTTGCCATGAATTATCACTCATTAGTCATCAACGAATTCATAAGAGGGAAAAACGCTATGAATGAGTTCAGTGTGAAAAAGCCTTTTACCGAAACTCAGCTCTCATTACACATGAGAGAATTCATACACGGGAAAAACCTTATGCGTGTGATGAGTGTGGAAAAGCTTTTTCTCAGAAGTCACACCTAATGAAGCATCAGAGAATCCACACAGGGGAAAAACCTTATGAATGTATCTATTGTGGGAAATCTTTTTGCCAACGGTCAGGTCTAATTACACATGAGAGTACCCACACAGGGCAAAAACCTTATGGTTGTAGTTAGTGTGGAAAAAATCTTCTGTAAGAAATCATCCCTCAGGCCCGGCACGGTGGCGCAAGTGGTTAAGGCCTCGCCTTGCACGCCCGGGATCCCATATGGGCATTAGTTCTAATCCCAGCAGCCCCGCTTCCCTTCCAGCTCCCTGCCTGTGGCCCGGGAAAGCAGTCAAGGACGGCCCAAAGCTTTGGGACCCTGCACCCGCGTGGGAGACCCGGAAGAGGCTCCTGGCTTCGGATTGGCATAGCATCGGTCGTTGCACTCACTTGGGGAGTGAATCATCGGATGGAAGATCTTCCTCTCTGTATCTCCTCTCTGTATATCCGCCTTTCCAATAAAAAAATAATAAAAATAAATCTTTTTAAAAAAAAGAAATCATTCCTCATAACACATCAGATGATTCACACAGGGGAAAAACCTTATCAATGCAGCGAATGTGGAAAAATCCTATAAGAAATCTTCCCTCATTACTCATCAGAGGATTCATACAGGGGAAAAGCCTTATAAATGTAGCCATTGCAAAAAAGCTTTTTGCCACCAATCAGCCCTCATTCCACATCAGAGAATTCACACAGGGGAAAAACCTTATAAATGTGACGAGTGCGGGAAAGCCTTTTGCAAAAAATCAGCCCTTACTAGACATCAGAGAATTCACACAAGGGGAAAACCTTATGAATATAGTCAGTAAAATAAAACCTTTTACAGGCATGTATCTCATTAGTCATCATAAAATTTACAGAGTGTGAAACCTTATGAATGCAATGAGTGTCAAATGTCTAGTCATGTAATTTATGGAAAGGAGACATCTTTTTAATATAAAGATTGTGGAAACATCTTTTGCCAGTATGCAGTATTAATTACACTGGCAAATTTTCAAAAATGAAAACCAATGAGTCCTGAATATGAAAAAACATTTTAACAGAAATCTTGCCTGAAGAAATGTGGAGAAATTTATACATAAAAGACATTTTGATTGCTGTACAAAGCAACATGTTTCAACAAGGTTTACAGTACCATAATCAACATGTTTAAAGAAAGGAATAAAAATATGACATGCCTTAAAAATGATATTTTCTAAAATCAGTCTTCAGAACTAATGGAGCTCAAGCAAGCATGTGGACAGAAACATTTGCTAGTATACTTCTGTTCTACCTATCTGGGCTTACAACGTGAATGAAAATAGAATTAACATAATATATTGCAAATGTTCAATGGATGTGGAAAAACACTTTGAGAATCAGCAAGTGTTAAATTATAAGCGTTATATTTCAGAATCAGGCTGTTTTCTGAAATATTTGGGATTAAATGTGTTATTAATTGATTACTCATGAGCCAGAAATATCAGCTCATGCATTAGAGAATTATCCTAAATGCCCAGCTTTGAAGGGTGTATTTTCTGTACACAATGGAGAGTGATTTTGTTGTAATATTTGGTAAAATGTGCATCACCTTTGGCCTCTGCCTATTCTTGCATACTCTAGGAGGTATAACCAAGAGACATAGAAATTATCAGGCATCAAACTCTTTGCATGTAGTAATGCCCATCTGCTTATATATCAGCTGCCACAACTATGCTCAAATTCGCACTGATTTCATGCATCATGGCTGGTCACAGCAAGTTTCTTGCCACTGGGATGTAACAGTACTCTAGATACCAGCCCGTGACTGAAGCCTTTAGATTGTAAAAATGATCACCAGCATCAGTATTATAGCATGGCAGAGTACGTTTCTGTTTGAGGTACTGGCATCCCATATGGTCTCCACTGTTTCACATCATAGCTGATCCACTTAGGATCCTGCCCTTGGCTTCTGGCTTCACATGAGACCAGCTATTACAGTCTCACTTGGGATCTGAATCAGTGGGTAGAAGACAGGTCGAGCTCCTCATTGTAACTTCCTTTGAAATAAAAAGTCATTTTTCAAAAAGAATTGGCACAGTGAGTGGAGTTGAGGTAAGGCTCATATTTACAGCAAAGCCCCTTGACATGTTTTCCTTCTTTGACAGCCTTGACCACTTCCACTACTTAATATGTACAGTCAAATCCCTACCAAGCCCCAAAATGCTCAACATCAAGCACAAGAGAAGCAACTTATTCTGCATAATGAACCATGTAGTATGCAGCCAATGTGTTACTTAATCTGCAGAATGAAGGTTGTGCATTCCCATTTTCTGCCAGCATTCTCATGTGAGCCTTCAGCTGTGAACTCCCTGGATATTGTTGAACAGCTCCTGCCCCTGGTCCTCCCAGGATCATTCCTCAAGTAGCCTACTTTGCAGTGGGATTTTAATGTTTCACAGTTCCTCTTTTAGAGCATTTCTAGTCTCTGTCAGCATCCTTAAGTTCTTTAATTCGTCTAATTGCCTGCTAGGAAGGTGGAATGGGGGAAGAATGGGATTCATGGTGGTTGAGAGAAATTAGATGAGTAGGTCATGTATTCAGGTTATAGATCCTGCTTCATTAACTATAAGTTGAGGTGTTACAGATGCAGAGTCTATAGCTCTGCAGTCCTGAATATGAATAACAGAAATTTGAAAATCCAAATCCCATTTTCTCTTTCCTCATATACAGTTGCTATAGTTATCTAATTCTTTCAAATTCTTGGGTTCCTGTGTTATGAAAATTGTTAGTTTGATACTTTTATGTTAGTAGCAACACTTAGAAAATTCTATTTAAGGTAAAAATATTTGTTATTTTTTATTTTATTCCTCCAAACTTCATATGCTAGTTTAATATAATTATAGATTAAAGCCCTGAATGTTTTTACATTGTCATCTTACTTTAGAGATGTTGAATTATTATTTTTCCTAATGTTTTTTATTGAAAGGCAGTAAATGCAGACAAATCCTCCGTTCACCAGTTCACTCTCCAAATGGCTACACTGACCAGAGATGTCCCAGTTGAATACCAGGAGCATCCTCCAGCTTTCCCATGTGAGCACAGGTTCCTATATATTGAAGCAATCTTCTGTTGCTTTCCCAGGTTATAAGCAACATGAAATGTAGCCGCTGGAATTTTAAGTGGCACCCATATAGGATGTTGACACATGAAGGCACAGGAGTAGCCTTCTAGACCACCATATCAGCCCTGATTTTTTTAAAAAAATGTATAACAAATTTCCAAATATTGTGGAGAGAGAAATGTAATTCAAGTCATATGCATGCATAAATATTCATAACAGGGGTATGAGAGATGTATCCTGCCTGAATTGCAATAGGTGGTGATTTGCTAGATAAAGAAGGACAAGTGAAGAAATAGGATCAGTATAGACCAAATAACCTAAGGAATATTAGAGAACTTTTTAAAGTTCTTCTTTTCAAGCATTTCAAGTTTATCAAAGATGAATACTTTATGCAAATTGTTTCCTTGAGATTAGAGAAAAAATTCCATTGCTAATATTTCCTGTAAACTACAGAAATCATAAATAACAGTGGCACTATTCCATGAAACTAGACCTTAATATCATAAAGTTAAACAAAATATTTCTATGTTAATTTATAAGTTTGGATTTAAATTCAGAATCTACTTCCTAAGAAAAATTTTAAATACT